TCAAATCAGGCTGGGCGTGGTGGCTCATGCTTGTAATCCCAGCACTTTGGGAGGCCAAGACAGACACACAGATCACTTGAGGTCAGGAGTTCAAGACCAGTCTGGTCAACATGGTAAAACTCCACACATACTAAAAATATAAAAATCAGCTGGGCATGGTGGCACATGCCTGTAGTTCCACCTACTTGGGTGGCTGAGGAACAAGAATCACTTGAAACTGGGAGACAGAGGTTGCAGTGAGCTGGTATCAAGCCACATACTCCAACCTGGGCAACAGAGCAAGACCCTGTCTCAGAAAAAAAAATCAAATCAAAATGGATTAAAGACTTAAATCTAAGACCTGAAACTATGAACTGCTACAAGAAAATACTAGGGAAAATCTCCAGAACACTGGTCTGGGCAAAAATTTCTTCAGCCATGCCCAACAAGCACAGGCAATCAAGGCAAATATATGGAATCATATCAAGTAAAAAGCTTCCACACAGCAAAGGACACAACATTTGCAAACTACTATCCGACAAGAGATTTATAACCAGAATATATAAAGAGCTCAAGCAACTCCAAGAAAAAGACCAAATAATCCCACTGAAAAATGGGCAAAAGGCCAGACACGGTGACTCATGGAGGCCAAGGCAGGCGGATCACAAGGTCAAGAGATGAAGACCCTGTCTTTATTAAAAATACAAAAATTAGCCAGGTGTGGTAACGCACGCCTGTGGTCCCAGCTACTCAAGAGGCTGAGGCAAGAGAGTCGCTTGAACCCGGGAGGCAGAGGTTGCAATGGATCGCACCACTGCACTCCAGCCTGGTGACAGAGCAAGACTCTGTCTCAAAAATAAATAAAAATATTAAAAAATGGTCAAAAGATCTGAATAGACATTTCTCAAAAGAAGACATACAAATGGCAAATAGGCATTTGAAAAAGTGCTCATCATTGATAATCATCAAAGAAATGCAAATGAAAAGTACCATGAGCTATCATCTCACCCCAGTTAAAATGGTTTTTATCCAAGACAGGCAATAACAAATACTGGTGGGGATGTGCAGAGAAGGGAACCTTCCTACACTGTTGATGGGAATGTAAATTAGTACAACCACTATAAAGAACAATTTGGATGTTCCTCAAAATACTAAAAACTGAGCTACTATATGATCCAGCAATCCCACTGCTGGGTATATAGCCAAAAGAAAGGAAATCAGTACTTTGAAGAGATATCTGAATTCCTATGTTTGTTGCAGCACTGTTCACAATAGCTAAGATCTGGAAGTAACCTAAGTGTCCATCAACAGATGGCTGAATAAAGAAAATGTGGTACATATGTACAATGAAGTACTATTTGGCCAAAAATATGAGATCTATGGCTGGGAACGGTGGCTCACTCCTGTAATCCCAGTACTTGTAAGGCCGAGGAGAGCAGATTACTTGAGGCCAAGAGTTTGTGACCAGCCTGGCCAACATGGTGAAATCCATCCCTACTAAAAATATAAAAATTAGCTGGGTGTGGTGGCACATGCCTGTAATCGCAGCTATTCAGGAAGTTGAGGCAGGAGAATTGCTTGAATTTAGGAGGCAGAGGTTGCAGTGAGCCAAGATCGTTACTGCACTCTAGCCTGGGCAACAGAACGGGACTCTATCTCCAAAAAAAAAAAAGAATGAGATCCAGTCACTTGCAACAACGTGGACAGAACTGGAGATCATTATGTCAAGGGAAATAAGCTGGGCACAGAAAGACACATTGCATGCTCTCACTTATTTGTGGGATCTAAAAATCAAAACAACTGAACTCATGGACAGAGAGAGCAGAAAGATGGTTACCAGAGGCTGAGAAGTGTAGTGTGGGGATAGGAGGATGGGGATAGTTTCTGGGTACAGAATAACAGAAAGAATAAATAAGACCTACTATTTGGTAGCACAAAAGGGTGACTCTAGTCATTAATACCTTAATTTTATATTTCAAAATAACTTAAAGAGTGTTTTTGGGTTGTTTGTAACTTAAAGGATAAATGCTTAAGGAGATAAACACCCCATTCTCCATAACATGCTTATTCCACATTGCATGTCTATATCAAAATATCTCACGTACCCCATAAATATAGACATCAACTAGGTACTCACAAAAATTAAAACTATAAAAATATAAAAAGTTCAGATGATTGAGTTTAACATTATACATCTTATCTAAGTATGTTCTTTCTTCTGTTCACAGTACACCAGTCAGTATAATAGAGTAATATAGCTCCTAATCATGATTTAATCAATTAGCTAAAATACAACCAAACTTCCGATGACATAAGATTACATACAGAAATGGTATTTTATATGTATTTTTATTTTTTAATTAATTTTTTTGAAACAGTCTCGCTCTGTCACCCAAACAGTGGCGTGATCATAGTTCACTGCAGCCTCAAATTCTTGGGCTCAAGCAATCTTACCACTTTAGCCTTCTTAGTAGCTAGGACAATGGGTACGTACCACTACACCTGGCTTTTTTTCATTGGTAGAGATGGGGTGTTGCAATGTTGCCCAGGCTGCTCTTAAACTTCTGGCCTCAAAGTAATTCTTCCCAAAGAGCTGGGATTACAGCATGAAGCACCATGCTCAGCTTGTTTTTAATTTAATTTTTTTGTTGTTGAGACAGAGTCTCACTCTATCACGCAGGCTGTAGTGCAATGGCAAGATCTCAGCTCACTGCAACCTCTGCCTCCCAGATTCAAGCGATTCTCCTGCCTCAGCCGCCCAAGTAGCTGGGATTACAAGACGCGCACCACCATACCCAACTGATTTTTGTATTTTTTAGTAGAGACTGGGTTTCATCATGTTGGCCATGCTGCTCTTGAACTCCTGACCTCAAGTGATCCACCTGCCTCAGCCTCCCAAAGTGCTAGGATTACAGGCATGAGCTACCACACCCGGTATGTTTTTTAAAATACAGTGAAAGAATGATCAATTAAAAATAATGGCTAATTTTCAAATCATTCACTTATATTTGAATGAATACACAACACTCTAGGAAAAAAAGAAAAAAGAAGCTACACTGGCAACGACCCAACTAAAAATAAGTTACATTTTTGGCTTCTCCAAGCTACTTTCCCCTATTTCATCTTTTCTTGCACTTCAAATTCTTTGAGGGACGAGATTATGTCATGTCCCTTTGTCAACTTAGTGCATCACACAGTGCCTGTAACATAATAGGCACTTCATATGTGTCTTCTGAGTAATGTACACAAGGACCAACTAGTGGGGAGTCACCATCTCTCTCCATGCCTACTATCTGGCTGCTGGTTCATATCATCCCTAAGAAAACCAAAGGCAAAAAAGGCTGGGCTCACATCTGTAATCCCAGCACTTTGGGAGGCTGAGGCAGGCAGATGGCTTGAGGTTAGGAGTTTGAGACCAGTCTGGCCAACATGGCAAAACCCTGCATCTACTAAAAATACAAAAATTGGCCAGGTATGATGGCACATGCCTATAATCCCAGCTACTCAGGAGGCTGAGGCACAAGAATCACTTGAGCCCAGAAGGTCGAGGTTGCAGTGAGCCGAGATTGCGCCACTGCACTCCAGCCTGGGCAACAGAGCTGAGACTCAGTCTCAAAATAAAAAGCAGGGTCAGTGCGGGGGGGGGGGGGGGGGGGGGGGGGGGCGGCGGCAGGGCGCTTGAATTTAAAAGGGCAGCAAAGAGAAAAATAGAGAAAGAGAGTTGGAAAGTACTATGCTCAGAAATAAAATTCTAATTAGATTACAGCTTATGCCACTAGGAAAGAAAACACTGATTTATTTATTTAATTATTTTTTGAGATAGGGTCTCACTCTGTTGCCCAGGCTGGAGTGTAGTGGCACGATCACAGCTCACCTCAGCCTTGACCTCCTGGGCTCAAGAGATCCTCCTACCTCAGCCTCCTGAGTACCTGGGACTACAAGCCGCCTACTTTTTGTATTTTTAGTAGAGACAGGTTTCGCCATGTTGCCCAGGCTGGTCTTGAGCTCCTGGACTCAGCAATCTGCCCACCTCAGCCTCCCAAAGCACTGGGATTACAGGCATGAGTCACTGCACCTGGCCAGAAACGACTTTTAAAACATACATGCATTTTTAAAACAAAGATGACTCTGGCTGCCATACATAAGGCCCAAAGACAGAAAAGGACTGGAAGAAGGAAGATGAACAGGAAGTTATCACTACAGTCCACTAAAGTAGGAATGGTGGCCCAGACTACAGTAATATTAATAACAGTAGTAACAGAGAGAAATAGATGTACATTACCTTTTTGCTTTAGGCATCTTTATTAAGAAAAATTCCCAACCGGGCACAGTGGCTCACGCCTGTAATCCCAGCACTTTGGGAGGCCAAGGTGGGTGGATGACGAGGTCAAGAGATCGAGACCATCCTGGTCAACATGGTGAAACCCCGTCTCGACTAAAAATACAAAAAATTAGCTGGGCACAGTGGCGCGTGCCTGTAATCCCAGCTACTCGGGAGGCTGAGGCAGGAGAATTGCCTGAACCCAGGAGGCGGAGGTTGTGGTGAGCCGAGATTGTGCCATTGCACTCCAGTCTGGGTAACAAGACTGGAGCGAAACTCCGTCTCAAAAAAAAAAAAAAAAAAAAACACAAAAAATTCCCTTCGGATTGGATCGGGTAAAACAAGCATTGTTATCTTGTGTAAAATGTGCATTTAATAAATGTAGCAATGAATTAGCAGAAATGAAAGCTCAATATGAACATGAAGATTAAAGATGGTTCCTAACTGCTGTAAGTAAACTTTCAACAAGGCATATTGCTCCAGATAAAATTCCACACAGCTGTTGGCAATCATTTAGGGACTATGGTGAGCAGGAGAGGTTGCCAGAAGACTGAAGACAGAAAAATGTAGTACTCGTGTTCAAAACAAGAGAAATGAGATCCTGCCAACTATTGATCGTTGAAGTTAAATGTAATTCTAGACATGATTCTAGAATCATTACTAAGAGAAGTTAGTGACCACTTAGAAAAAGCAGTTATCAGTGCTCCCTTAACAGCACATATACTAAACAGGAACAAAACACAGATGAGCATGGCCCCTGAGCAATAATGACATACAAATTCATAAAGCATTCCACATTTTTTACTTGAATTAAAAAATCATTTTCTGATACAAAAATCAGCAAGCGTGGTGGTGAGCGCCTGTAGTTTCAACTACTCAGGAGACTGAGGAAGGAGAATTGCTTGAATCCAGGGGGCCACTGCACTCCAGCCTGGGTGACAGAGAGAGACTCCATCTCAAAAAAAAATCCTTTTCTGATTAAAAAAAAAAAAGACAAAAAAGTAGTAATCAACATATGCTACTGGAATATAGTATAGTTTCACTAAGGATAAGTAAGGATAGGTTAAAGCTCTTTTCCTTACAGTTACTAAACTGATAGGGTTAAAAAATGAGGCATAAAAAATCTGGGTTTTAGTAAGTTAATTGTCAAAGTTCCTCATATATTCCTTGTGAGAACTTGGAAACATGAGGTAGATGATGATAAATTAGCTAAATTTCTAATTAGCTGACCAACCTGAACTAAAGAATTAATAATTTTTATTACTTTTAAGAGAGGTCTTTAGCAGGTAAAGAACTCTGCTCTCAGCCCTGCCTACACAGCATTTTGGTAAAAAATTTGCATGAAAGTAATGCCAAAATTATCCAACTTATATGTTTATCAAATGCACAGGTTAATATTTACTAGATGACCAAATCAGGATTTTTTTTTTAATGTCAACAGACTGGAAGCAATCTTTCAAAATAAAATTTAATGCAGATACATGTAAAGTCCTACCAAAAAATATTCTATTAAAGAATTGGTCGGGTGCAGTGGTTCATGCCTATAATCCCAGCACTTTGGGAGGCTGAGGCAGGTGGATTACCAGGTCAAGAGATCGAGACCATCCTGGTCAACAAGGTGAAACCCTGTCTCTACTAAAAATACAAAAATTAGCTGGGCATGGTGGTGCGCGCCTGTAGTCCCAGCTACTTGGAGGCTGAGGCAGGAGAATTGCTTGAACCCAGGAGGCGGAGGTTGCGGTGAGCCGAGATCGTGCCATTGCACTCCAGTCTGGGTAACAAGAGTGAAACTCCGTCTCAAAAAAATAAATAAATAAATAAAAATAAAGAATTGAGAGATTATGACTTTCAGAACTGAGAGAGCACGAACAAAATAATTCAACAATTTTAGTTGACAAGACCAATAGTAAAATAGGTATCATATATACATAGCACTTGGATGTCACAACCCATTTTAAATGACTTACATATACACATTAATTTAATTATCTTAAGAATTGTATAAGTAGACACTATTATTAATGCCATATTAAAGATGAGGAGACTGAGGCCCAGCGTGTTTACATAATTTAGTCAAGGTTACCCAGCTGATGAACTGCAGAGCTAGGATCTAAACACAGGAAGCCTAGCTTCACTAGCTTCAGAGTTAATCTTCTTAACTAGTAAATTATTATAAATTAACAGTGTAAAGTGGTTGCCAAAGAAGCAAGTCTACTCTTAAAGTATATGCTTTAAAATCAAAGAGGAAACTTACAATCTTCTATACTAGTTAATACCTAATTTGGGGTACTATGCTCATCAGAAGAGTATGGAAGAAATAAAATCCACAAGTGGGTTATCAGTTCTGTGAAGAGATGCAAATGAAAACAATGACACAAAAGTTACTAGAAGAGGTTAAAGATTATTTTTCCAGCTCCCTTCCTCCAAATATAAATATATATATATTCCAGCGAAGAAAACACTCAGTGGAATGTAAATATCTTCAAATAACTGAAAACCCACAATACAGAAGAGACAGTGAAGACACAATTTCTAGTTCAGTAAAAGAAATAATTTTATTAAAATTAGGGTTGTCCAAGCATGGCACCGAGGGGTGCGCTTGTAACCGCAACTATTTAGGAGGAAGAGGTGGGAGGATCACTTGAGCCCAGGAATTTTGGACAAGCCTGAGCAACAGAGAGAGACCCTGTTTTGAAAAAATTTTTAATTTAAATTTAAAAAAAGCTAGAATTGATCAAATAACTTTGCTTCAGAAACTATGACACTATAAACAATCTCTCCCAAAATACACAAATGTGCATAATTTTGCTTAACCTTTCCAGTAGTTCACAAGCCTACTTTTATATCTATTCATGCCCCATCTCTAGAGTCATGTATCCCAGATTAAAATGGAAAGGACTGAAGCATGAAGAGGTGAGTGTATTTAATTTTCTTTAAAATCCACTATAATTTAAAATTCTATGATCTAAAAGAACTCTCAATCTATGCTTTCTAGTTTCTTCTGAGATCCATTATAACACGTATTGCAATAAGAGTTTAAAAGACGATGATCAGGAAATACATCCCATTTCAAGTTATATCGAGAACACAAGCTCAGATGTTTAAGAATTTTGGCTGCAACAGAAAAACTTTAATGTGCCACTTGGACTGCACATTCACAAAAGTCGGGGTGGGAGGAATTACATGATCCAAAATGAAAATATGAAATATTACATACTGGAAAAATTCAGCTTTCTTTTTTAAACACCCATTAATGAAGAGAACTGAAAAGTAAAGAGTTTAGTATGTCTTGGACCTTTATTAACAAATTCAAGTGCCACAGTGCTGAAACTGCAACTGCTAGGCCAGAACAACGCTACAGACACCATGTCTACTCTTAGACTAGACTAGTTACAGGCATAAGATGTTCCAATAAATAACAAACACATCCAGAGCCAGTACACAAGTGTGACAGAATCTGGGGTCCAAGCATTTGATTTTTCTTCTGGTACTATCTGAGAATGGACGCTGCCATTAAAGATTAATTATAGTAACCTGATAGTGATAAAGGTTTAGCTAAATAACAGGCTAACCAACGAAATGGAAAAGCAAGCTACAGTATAGATCAATTAAGCTATTTTATATTTACTTTTACACAGAGACAGGGTCATGATTATGCCATATATAAAACAGATAAATATATACTCACGAGCAAAAAACAAAAAAAAAAACAGGTAAATAACTTTATTAGGTGAAGATAAATTCAACTAATTAAGGGAAGAGAAAACACATGGCCCAGAAAAAAAAAAAAACAGGTTGTGCTAGTCAAATGAAAAGACACAAAACTCAGATCTTGGGGACAGAGGGGAAGAAGGATGAGCTATAACACAGCCTTACTGCAAGACAGCAAGTAAGTGAGACAGGGAGTCTGTGCCCTCTGAGATGGAATGAGGAAAAGATAAATGTATTCATGGGCTCAAAGGTAGCTCAGCAGTGAATATGGAAAAGGAATGAGCCTGTTCACTGTTTCAACAGGAAAAGGAAAATAATATATTGGGTCCTTTACTAAGCCAGCATCCATGGTAGTTAATAATAAAAATGCCTAACTAATGCAGAGCACTTAAAAATGGAGAATTTTCTTACGATTGCATTCCATACATTAGTCCATTTACTCCCTGAAACACTCCGAATAGGTAGATCTATCTATTTTACAGATGAAGAAACCGAGATCACACAATGGAAGATAGCACAGCCTGGTAAGAGAGACTGGGCGCTCATCCACTTCGTTGTACTGTTTCTCAGCGAGAAGATAGGAAAACCCTCATACTCCTTTGTGAAGAGAAACCCTGGCTTTCCAGATTTTCTCAAAGGAGTCTGGGCCCAAAAAGTGATCCTCTACTTTAGAGAAAAGTTCCTTTATGGGACATATGAGGTTCTTCCAAGCACACGAATCTTAGAAACTCTTTTTAAAAACAAACACACACACCTGGTGGAGACAGAGGCGTGTGAGTCATTAAAGGAGGAGGAAAAGACGGAAAACCAGATTTAGAAGCCATCCTTCTTTGCAGAGAACCAGAAAGTAGAAAGCAGCCCTTCCCCTCTTCCACGAGGCGTGACTCAAGGACGTTACCTCCCCCAGTTTGCTCTAAGCGATAAGCCGGTGACCCTCTCCGGCTTCCGACTCCGGCCCAGACACTCACGGGTTATCCGCCAGGCCTGGAGAACCCAAGTCTAAACAGATGGGACTCGGGAGGGCAAGGGAGCCCCTGGGCGCAGGGAGGGAAACCTGCCCAGGAACGCGCCCGGCCGGGTCCAAAGGCCCTCTGCGCGCGGGCCCGCGCCCTCGCCCCAGACCTTACCTCCTTCGGCTGCAGAAGACCTGGCGGCCAAGCGAGGCTGTCGGGCCGAGCCCGGAGTGCGTCTTCGAGCGCCGCCGCTTCTGTGGCTCCAGTGCTTGGCGGCAGTCGGTCCCGGTGAACTCACACCCGGGAAGACGCGGCCTGCCCGGTCAAGGAGGCCCAGGAGTTTGAGGCCGCGGAACGCCGACCGTGCGCGCGCCCTCAAGCCTGACCAAAGAGGAAGGGTCAGGGCGCGCCCCTTGTGCCGGACCGCGGCTGCAGCGCCACAGCCGAGATCTCAGCCGATTTCGTCTGCTCTCTCCCTGCCCAGCTACTGCCCCGCTTCCCCCGCGCGAGCTTTGGCGGCGGAGCAGCACGGTGCGCGCCGATTGGCCCTCGGGATGTGCGACGGCAGGCGCCGCTCCCCACGGATTGGCCGGGCCGGCGGTGCGTGCACGGAGTAAACAAACCCCGCCCCCAGGCTTCCCGAGGTGGGGAGGGGGCCGCCAGATGGAGGGGCGGGCCTCGAGCACTCTGCCACTGCCTCCTGTTCCCCCTGCGGCTTCCCTGGAAGCCCTCTGCAGTGACCGGACCAGCCTGCTCCCCAGCCGCCTCCAGGGACAGCTGCGGGCCTGAGGCCTAGAATTTTAGACACACTTCCTCCCTCCTGTATCTCATCTCCCTACTCCCACCCTGCGACATGGTTGGGAATCTCTTTTCCAGCTGACCCCCGAAGCCGGAAAACCCCAGCTTTCTTGCAAAGAGGGGTACTGAGCCAGTTCCATCTCGGTTCCCAGGCTTTTGCGGGGTCTCCCATCAATAAGGGACAGGGGGGCGAGTGATCGTAAGTGAGGCTATGCGTGGGGCCAACTGTGAAACTCCTTGAAATTATTCAGACAACGGGTTAGAGACCACTGGGAATGTGGAGGTTCTTCAATATCCCAGTTCTTCAAGTTAATATACAAACCAGGTCAGGTCATCATGT